AAACAAAATATTTTTTTCTTACTACGTGTGATCCATTGAATATGGATCCAATTTTTCAATTTTTTGGATTCCCTGAAATTTGGTTGTAATGTTCCTGGTAGTATCAAAATGCCTCTATGTCGAGATATCTTATCAATCTTTCGAGAAAATCGAATGTCTCAAAAAAAGATTTTAAGTTCAGTTCTCTCTCTCTTTTTTTTCACACTTGGACAAACTCACCTACTCGACTTCTTAAATTTAAAGTACTTTGTGTATCTACCCAAAAAAACTATTGTTCCGTATAATTATGGAAGAAGATCTGAGTAAGATATGCACTTCCTCAAGAATTAAAAAACCGATCTACTTTCATTTGATATTTTAGCCTAAATGCCTTGACTCCTCAATACTCAATCAAATCCTCTTTTTTTATGATTGAATGCATTTCTATAGTCCCAAATTTAGCAAAGCCCGAACTCTTGACTCTCATTTCTTCTGTGACTAAAGGGACATAACTTAATTTGGTATCTTCTAGTCCCAAACCTCACCTTCTCTTAATGCTCAAAATACTATAATTCCATGAAGGAATGAGTTATGCACGTCTGCTATTTAATTTGGATGAAATCACTCTTCCACCTAATGGTAACGATCCAGGCAACAACTTTGAATATTCATGATGAATTCCAGTCATGTCACTGTACCCTTCGTTGAACACATCAGGGTTCCTATTTCCAAACCTCTCCAGATAGAATGGGGCAGCTGATTCAAGTGACAATTTTGAAATGAGAATTGGATTATGTGAAAATGATGATAGTTTCTGAGGATGCAGAAGCATTTGATGTAGTTTAGTCGACCCATCCCATCCTTAAGCCACAAAATTCAGATGGTAAAGACGACTGTTAATCCAGCCTGGTTTCTCTAACCATTTGCCCATTAATGACTGCCGAAAAGGACATGGGCAAATAGAAGAAGCTAAGAGTCACTTGTTGCATTAGGAAAAATCATGGAGCCTATTGAGGAGCGATTGTTAGGAGTACAATGTTGGATCATTTCATAAAAAGTTTACATCTGAATGACTTCCACTGTAGGAAGCTGTCCATCCAACCTTCATTACTTTCTTCACACAGATTCATTTCTTCAGTCATAAAATTTAGTCTTTTTCTCCAAAGGTTGATGAACTGATATATATAAGAATACCGAGTTGACAAGGCTTGTTTGCAATTTCACGTCTCTACGTATCTAATATTCAATGTGAATCACATCAAATAAAGGCTCCGACTACAATAGCGTACTGATTGAACAACACCGAACCATTTCTTAATAATTGAATAACTTCTCCAACGCACAGTCCAATGCAATGTTAGTTGCATATATTCCCTTCAGAAGAATAAGTACTCTACAGCTACAATCGTGCTTCAGATTTATTTTCAATTGCAAAATTCTATTCATAGAAGCATTCCAGCACTTAATATTGCCATGGAAAATGCTTAAAAACAAACTACTAATGAAGATTGATGCGATTCACAGAAGCATTCAAGCGCATAATGTATTAAGCCAATAACTACAGAAACAAATCTTAAATGAAAATAAATAATTTGCTTATTTGGCAGAAAACTAGAAGTTGCACATCTAGTACAGTAATCACTTGAAAACGATAGAAAACTGATTCCTTATGGATTGAATGCAAGAAAACTTCCCTATAAACTAAGGCAGTATAGGACAGAAATTCCTCGATTCACTCATTCTATTGCCAAAATACAAATAGAAAACCAAAATTCCGTAAACTAAATACCTTTTGTTGGACAGAAAATGTTTGGGCGATTCGTTTGGGAAAG